GCCACCATGGCCACTTTGACATGTTCGACATGCACCACTTGGGCGATGACGCGAGCCAGAACTGCACTGTCGACATGCCAAGTCGAGTGGACGAGGGCTAGGCTCCGGATGAGGCGTGGGGCCAGCACCACCGTCACGAGGACGAGGGGCAGGATGGCGGCAATCGACTGAACGGTCTCCTCGATTGTATCTAGTGGAGCAAAAGGTAGGACCGTCGTGGCGAAGTAGGCATACCCCAGGCCATTTACAAGCAAAATGACTTGCAGTAGCACACGGCAACTTTGGTAGCTGATGATCGGAAGGGAAATGCAGTCAATTTGTGTGCTTACGTTTTGCTCCAACGAGGTTTGGCGGCACAGCGGTGTCAAGGGATGTTTGTCGCGCCACGGCCAGTGTGATGTACGATCGTGCGGGGAGATTGTCGGGAGGCTGGCTTCCAGCCGCTCTCCAACAGCTTGCATGCGGGAGAGGGCTTCCAACGGACCCAGTTGGGTCACCGTGCCTTCTTTCGTGGCGAAGCTTGCGATGGCATCCCAAATAGAACTCGGCGTCTTCTTCTCACCATCGCTCTCTTGGCTTGGAGGATCCATCGATGGGACCAACGCGTGGAGTTTGGCGTGGTGGACGAGTCGACTGTACGACCAGGTCATAACGATGTAGAAGACCGTGGCAAACGCCATAAGGGAGCTCGAGAAGCACACAAATACACGCCATCGAGAAGAAAACAAGGGGATGGTGGTTGTTTGTTTGGGCGGCAAATCATACGCGGCCTCGAGCTCTCCCGTGATGGAAAAGAAGGCGTAAAAGAGCGCCAAGAGAACTACCCACGCTCCAAAGCCCATATCGAATAGTTCGAACGTCAGTTGCTCTTGAATGCCACGAACGTGCTTAGCAAACCCAAACATTGGCGGCAGGCCGTACACGTGCCGAAAGAACGCATCAACAAGCTTGAGCTTGACGCGGGTGGCGTGCCAGTTGCGCACAAAGAGCCACGTCGGCCGACTTTTCGCCAGCTGAATCTCGTCCACGACTTCGAACGACCACAAGAGGCCGAGCCCATCCATTTCTGTGGTGGCTACGCGGAGTAGCACGATCACCACGATGGCTTGAACGGCCATCGATAGTGAAGCAACCAACAAGAGCATATTGGCAGCATCAAACGCGTCGTGAATATATTCTTGACGCAGTTGTCGTCGTTCGGTAAGAACCGCACATTTCACCAACAGGTACACGAGCCCCACAACCGCGAGCTGTCGCGTCAACTTGTGCACCAACGCCACGTATTTAGGACTCTGAGCCAAGCTGCGCAGTAGCCATAGCACAAGCGCTTCCAAAACCCCCGCAAAGCCCACCGCCAACACAAGAAACAGCCCTACCGAGCTTGTGGTGGCAGCCGTCACAGTCACACCCACTGCTGCCGACATGTCAACAATGTGGTGTTCCAGTATTATTGTTCGACATTCAACTCTTGGTATAACTTTATCCGAAGTATTTTGCATATCTGGAAGGTGTCGACCAAACGTCGCACAATTGTTGTTCTCGTGCACTTTGCAGTTTTACTACTGGAGGGTGAGGGAAATGGTCATATTACAACGAAGTAGATGGAGCTTAACGTTATACCTATAATCGCAATGTTATACAATCGATTTAGTTCTTACTTCACCTGGTTAACAGAAAACTTGGTCGTCGCATCGTCACTAACGTAAAAAACCAATTTAAGATAACTTTTTTGGGGCGGTCGGAGTAGAATGGACATAACTTTTGAGTCCGTTACGATATTTGAGTTTTGAATAGTGATTCCAATAGGCAAGACGCGCCTCTTTGACTTCATAATCGAATTATCAGTTTAGGCGATGAACTTCACAGGAAAATTTGTTACTTTCTAAGCATTTGTACTCACATTTTGATAACCAATTTAGGACAACATTTTTTATCTTAAAGTATGTATGATCTAAGCATTGAAATTCTGTGTTTAGGGTAAGCGGTTACAACAGGTTACATATAATTTATACAAGGGTACTGTTTTATAGAGTTATATTTCTGTTGTGGATGGATGTCCAGAGTTTAACACTCACCTCAGATCCAACCCAATTGTGGCCCATGTCGACTAGGGAACTTCGAACCCAATCTTGAATGACATAACCAACGGCTTCTACGCCGTTTTGGCATTTCATTCACGTGACGGAATGGCCAGCATTATATGATAGAGGTTTTGACTCGAACAAATAACGAGGTGTGATTGGGCAATACAAAGTTATCCTAAATTGGTTAAGTTATCTTAAATTGGTTTTTTACGTTAGTGATTTGGTCGTCAACCTTGCGCCATGGAAGCGCACTTTTCTTCGAAACAAGAAACCGTTTCATTATATGTACATATTTATCATGGGGTGAATATAATTTTTTAAAACAACGCATCAAAACGATGTTATGTGATGTTATACAGTTATGTGATGTTATACAGTATTTGGAAGTAAAGGTCACTACCGGCAAGTTAGCTAAATTTGAAATGCCTATTTATTCTATATTTTTTTATTTTATATTTTTAAATTGATATAAAACAAAAGCTAAAATTAAATAAAGATATCTATTTTACTATTAATATCCTGTTGCAATGAAATAAAACATCTCACCCGATGAACTGATTCCTCCTCTATTCGAATATACCTTCAGATCTAAAAAGTGATTCGTGGGGAAAACGTTATGGAAGAATTAAGGGCCTGTTCCAAGTAGATATTTTTAGCAAAATGAAAAAGTGGTTCCAAGTGCTAGTTTCCTACCTTATTACCTCTTTTTCTGCGATTTTTTACACATAAGTCGAAATACGTAGGAATCGTATGAAGAAAATGAACAAATAGTAGGAATAATCTCCCTACAACTTCGATTTTGTCAGATCAAATATGGTCATCCGGAATTCTTTATCTTGGTTTCACTATCGAATTCGGCGGAAAACAACCGGACGCATTTTTCAGGCTATTTGATGAACACGTAGGAAGGATTTTCCTACGATGTGGATAGCCAATCAAATAGCTCAAAAACTGAAAAAAGGCAGCCAATAGGACGCAGTTGATGGGAGGCTCCCATTCATCAACATGAGTACCAACAGCGATTTCACCATCGAAGGAGCGCGACGCAGTCGCATCTCAGACAGCACGCGCCTCGGATACTTGTCCGGCATTAAGCAGGTAGTCAACTGGGCTGTTATGGCAGGGAAGCCAGAGCTCTTGATGCCAAGCACCGAGCATGAGGGTCGCATGACCTTAGATCTGCGTGTGTTTGCGTACGAGAACTTTTTGGAGTTCATTGTCTGGACTGTTCGGGAACGAGATATTGGCCTGGGCGCCCTAAGCGGCTACCGCAGTGCAGTCAAGAGTTTGTACATCGATCAAGGTATTGCTCTCCCTGAGCCATACGATGGGGACATGAAGGTCATTTTTTCGGGTACAGAATTTTATATTTTTCGCAAAAAGTAATATAGGTTTAGGAATTCGAAAGTCCGTCGCCCAGAACCTTCAAAATGGGTCCAAGGAATTCACTGGCAAGCGTCCAATGTCGTTTTCGGTATTTGAGCATCTCTGCGCGGCGAGCATGGGCCTGCCCGATTGCGGATTTACGCATCTCTACCTAGTTCTCTCATGGAACTTGATGTGCCGTTCCAAATCCACGGAGACGATAAGGTATAAAAATATTAGTCCTTTCAAACATTCACATATCGTAATGAATGATGCGGTAGATTTGAGCACATGTCGTGCGAGGACGATGCCATTGGGTTCGTCTTTCATAAAACCAAGACGAGCCAAGAAGGTAAAATATTTATTTTAGTTTTGATGGGTTGCCGTGTAATCATTTCGTTAAATTATTTGTAGGAACAAAAAACAAGGACCCAAAGCATTGCTTTGCGAACCCCTTAAAACCGCAAGTGTGCTTGTTTTTAGCATTGGGAATA